GGTCAGAGGGAGAAGCAGACCCCCCGCTGAGCAGGGAGCCCGACGTGGGACTCGATCCCGGGACTCCGGGATCATGACCTGAGCCGAAGGCAGTCGCTTAACCAACTGAGCCACCCAGGTGCCCTCACTGGGTAAATTTTTATTTAATGTTCACTATGTCCCAGGCATTGCTCTGGCTACTGAGAACAAATAAGAATCCTATAGTCAAAAAGTTGGCCATCGAGTGGAAGATATAGATATTTACGAACAAATGAACATAAAAAGAGTGGTAGAAAGGAAGGCCATGGAGGGCTGGTCGGGGAGGCAATCTTTAGCTGAGCCTCCAAGAGAAGCAAGATCTACGGACACTCAGTGAGTCCACCCAAGGCTGTGGGCTTGAGCAGAGTCTGTCTCTGGCTTCCAAGAGGAGTTGATGGGCTGTGGACAGGTTCCTGGCAAAAGGGGGGATAAGTACTGAAATGTCCCTGAGATGGGGAACACTCCAGAGCCTTACAACAGAATCTCAGATTTCCTGAACGACGGAGGGTCTTGGAGGAAGCCCGGATCAGCCTGGCTCAGCTTCCCATTGGTCAGAGAATCCTTCCAAGAGCAATTTAGAGGCTGGTGCGCTCAAGTGTGTCCGTGGGGTCCTTCAAGACAGAGCCGTTTGTGCAAAAGATTCCTCTGGAGTCACACGTGTGAGATAAAGGGGAGAGGGAGATGGGGCGGGGGGAGCCCCGGGCTGCAGGGAAACCTGGAGAAGGCCCCCTTGCCAGCCCAGCAGGAAGCTCCACACAAAGACTCAGAGAAGTCCCATACTGGGCAGGAATGACCAGACCCTGTGGCCCTATGGCCTCCTCGCATAGCTTTGGGGCCGAGGAGAATACGGCCTCAGCCTGAACACTGCAGCTCGAGCTTGTCGGCTGACTGCGCTTCTGTCTTCCCTGAAGGGAGAGCCAAGCCACAACCTCTCCATGGCTGCCCAATGTGGCTTGTTAGCAGAGGTGAGAATGGCTCGTGCCAAGTTGGGGGGAGGAATTAATTCAGGAAGAAAAACCTTAACTAAATGATTTACTCTATGGTCCTCTGGGAGACAATTCTCTGGGGTCTCTGGCAACTCTGCATGAATTAAGAAGGAGAAGCTGACAGTCCTTTGTTGCAGACTATCTTTGTAAAGATCAGTGGACGAGAGGCAAGGTGTGTCCCTCTGGAATAAACATCAGGCGTGCTTACTGTTGGAGATAATAAAGACAATGCCTCCCTGCAGAACGAAAGGCAGGCACGTTTACAGAAAAGTCAAGTTCCCTAAGCTTGGGCTGCTGCTTCTGGAACGGCCTCCCCTGCATGTGCAGATACCACCTGACCCTCTGACTCAGGGGAGCTGGGAATTCCAGCTGGGGCTCAGGGAACCAGCATGAAAACGCTGAGTCTCTGGCCGCCGTGGTTGCTGAAGTAGCAAACTCTCCTTTGTCTCTGACCTGGGAGTCTCCTGTCTTCTGCCAAGAAGAGGAAACGGTGCAGGTAAACTTGTTACTTTGCCAGGAGAGCAAAGCTTAGACCTTTCGTGGTTCTTGCGACAGCAGATGTCCTGGGAGAGAAACCATCATGTCCAGGGAAGGATGTGAAGGCAGAGAAGGCTCAGTAGGCTTTTTGGGAAGGCAGCCAGAGCACAGAGAGCAGGACAAGGATTTCCTGAGGACGCCAGGTTCCAAGGAGGGGAGGCAGCCTGCGGGAGCGCTCTCCACCATCCGGGTGGTTTTAAAGGTCCTGTTTCTCAGGATAGATTGAGGGAAATAAGAGTCTTTGGAAAGCAATGGCCAGGCTGGTGACCTGGCTATAAATAGCCAATATTTGTTTTAAATAATAACAGTGAACGGCTGTCACAGGATCTCATTTCTGGAGTTATTTATAGGCTTCATATGACAACCTAATGGATGGATCACATTTTAACGCTGCAAAACTTTTGGTCATAAGATAGTTTATCATAAAGGTCACCATTTCCCTGGAGGGAAGCTGCCACCCCAGGAGCCCCAGAGTGCAGGTGGTACCCTGCAAGAACTTCTGGGTCGAGATCAAGGTCCTGGCCCGGCCCAGGGCTCTCTTGTAGAATCTGCAGGTACCGGTGGTCTCTCTGATGCGTGCCAAGGAGCCCACCACGGAGATCCAGCTTGGGAGACGCAGCTCTCTCTCCTCCCAGACACACGCAGCTCCTTGCGGCTCCTCCCTCGGCCGCCGGGGACAGCCCTTGGCAGCACCCGGCCGCCCGAGACACATTTCCCTGCGTTCTCCCCAGCTTGCTCTTCTGTGCCCTAAAATGGGCTGGAGAGGGGGGTGGAGTTGGGGTCTGGGTTTAAAAGGTCTCTTCTCATGGGTGTGTGAAGGAGGGACGACCTTCAGAAGCGGACCAAGTCACCAGCGGATGGAAATCTTCGCGACTGACGCATGGCCAGCAAAATCAGAAAAGCAAGTAACAACATTTGTCTAAATCTTAATAGTTTATCAGGTTTTCCACGGTCTTATTCTTAAATTATTGCCATACGTTGTCTTTATTTTTTAATTATTATTTTTTTAGATAACTGTAGATTCACCCGCAGTTACTCTTAGCCAGTCTCCCCCACTGGTAACATCTTGCATAACTCTAGCACACAGTCAAGTCACGACATTGACCCTGATGTAGCCCATCAATCGTATTCGGGTTCTGGTCGTTTTCTACGCATTCAATGTGTGTGTTTAGTTCTGCACAATTTTATCAGACGTGCACATGGGTCAAGATCCTAAACATTTCCACATCCCAGGGGACCCCTCCTGTGGACCTTTTATGACCCCAGCCACCATTCTTCTCCCTCCAACTAATTAATAACATTTCATTTTAAAAATAAATTGTGTTGGTACAAATGTAAAACAGCACAGCCACTCTGGAAAATGGTGAGGCCATTTCTTATAAAACTAAATATGCAACTCCCACACAGCCCAGAAATCGTGTCTGTGAGCATGTATCCCAGACACAGGAAGACTTAACGTTCGAACATCGACTTGTCCATGGATGTGCACGTTGGCTTTTTTTGTCAGAGTCAAACACGGGGAACAACCCGGGTGTCCCTCAGGGGGTAAGCAGCTCAACAAGCTGGGGCCCAGCCATGCCGTGGAATCCCCCACAGCAATCGAAAGGAACAATTCATTAGTACAGAAAACAACTTGCATGGACCTCCAGGGAATTATTCTGAGTGGAAAAATACCACCTGACACGGGCACGTACCGTATGACTCCATGTTGACAGCCCTCTTGCAGTGACAGGCTATTAGAAGTAGGCACCCCGGCTTCTGACCTGCTCTCAGCACAGCCCCAGGACCCGGTTGCACATTTGCACTTACAGTGACCAACCGGCGGCCCCGAAACAGAGGTTGGGGTCCACGGCAGCATGTGATTGGCCCCTTTCGCCTGTTTCCTTCCTATCACTCAAAAAGTACGCGGTCAGTACCAAGCCTGGGCAAGACACGAGACGGCATAAATGACAGGTAAGATCCAACTGTGGCACTCTGGAGTACATTTAACCTGGACTAAACGTGATCGTGCACAGATTATGTTTCCCGGAACCTCCTCCTGTGGAACCCCCTCCCGTGAGCCACTGTCTTGTGGACCCCCCCGCCATGGCACAGAATTGGCCCAAAGAGGGCTTTCACAAGGCAGAGGAGAAGCAACTCGGCTCCCTGAGGGTCATGGTTTACTGGGGTGACCCGCACGCTCCCCCCGGTCCACGCCCAGCTCTCTCCTGGCCCTCCGGCCTGCACTTTACAGTAGACGTGGGGGCACACGGCAGTCCCCTGCCCCATGACCCGTCTGGCCCGGCCTTGGCCTCTGGAGGGCTGGTCGGGGATTTTCCAGCTGCGCCAACACCCTCCCACTCCACTCCGTGTCACTCCCCGTGGCCCTGTTGTGCTGATCCGCTGTGACAGCCGGCAGGCCATCGGGACAGGTGGGGGCCGCGGCAGGACCCAGGATGGGTTAGAAAGCAGCCAGACATTCCAGAAATCACCGAGCCAGGCCTTCCAGGGGCAGGGAGACGTGCTCGGAAGAGAAAGGAGGAGGGAGTCCAGCTAGCAGACACCTACCCCATGGGAGGGAACAACGTCCATCCACGCAGCAGACGTCTCCTGGGGCCTGCCGTCAGTCTCTGGAAGGGACACCAGGCCCTCACTGGCAGCGAGGTCGGGTGGTGCCCGAGGAAGTTAGCACCTGGCTGGCTTCCACGGCCACGAGCTCAGATCAAGACAACCCTGGGGAACCTCTGAATCAGAACACGTGTCCTTTGTAGCCAGAACCCCCACCAAGACACACATGGCAAAATCCGGCCCAGACTCCAGGTCGAGTACTTTCAGGGTGCCGCACATGAGGCTCACAAGCCCCCAGCATGTCACGCAAACTTTGTTTGCGTGCTGTGATGTCAACAGCCCTTAAGAGACAAATATGAAACAGAGGTCATGGCAGTGTATTTTGGAAGAGCCCCACATGTAAAGTAACTGTGAATGCGGGCCAGGGAGCAGCGCCCCGAGAGTCTTGTCTGGGGGAGAGAAGACAGCCAGTTCCGAGCCGAGAGCTCCAGCTCTCCTGCCCACGTGCCACAGCAAACACACCTCCAGGCTGCTCTGCTTCTGGGCTGACCCCCTGTCCTGGACAAACACCGGATGGGTCAATGTGGCCTCCATCTGGAGAAGGACAGTCCTAGAAACAGAGCAGGT